GCTGCCACGCGGCACTCTTCTGTTCTGCGCAAAGCAGCTGCGCTTCAAATTCAGAGGATAAAGGTGAGTATGGGAGCCCAGGCAGGCAGGTGGTCCCAACAGCAGAGAGGAGGAGAGAACCGGTTCGGTCTCGGCTGCTCATCGCTCCAACAGGCTCACCACAACTGGACCGAACCGGTTGAATACCACCACTGGTTACTTGTCATGCAGGGTGAGATACAGTGATGGGATTCAATTTTTTTTTACTACCGGTTCTGTGGGCATGGCTTGGTTGGCGTGGCAGGGGAAGGATACTGCAAAATCTCCAGTCAGAGGTGGTATTTGCTGGTTCTCTGAACTACTTAAAATTTCTACTACAGGTTCTCCAGAACTGGTCAGAACCTGCTGAATACCACCTCTGGTGACATAGTCCTTAATTTTGCCACAATTTTCATGCACACAATTTTAAAAAACAAAAACAAAAATCAAGTTGAAGTGATAGGGTGTTCAGGATTTTCAAACAGAAAAAAAAATTACATAGTGAATTCTCTTATCTTCTTATGCTTTATTTAGGACATGGCTGTCAAACTCAGATCCTGCCTGTGGGGTGCTTAGATCTGGTCTGCAGGCCTGCCCTGGAAACAGCAAAGGACCAACTCACAGTACCTCTGCCAGCAAAAACAGAGTTTGTGGAGCAGAGGGCTGCAACAGCTTCCTGCAACCCTCTGTGCAGCCTCCCTGAGCTCCGTTTCTTCTGACAGAAGGCTGCAGGAGGCTATCACAGCTGAAAATGGAGCCCAGCCATGGAGCATCATGGCTAAAAACGGAGCCTCAGCGAGTCATGTTGAGTTTGCCACACACACCCTGGCTATACCCCTGCCCCTCCAAGGTCAAACACAACCCTGGTGTGGCCCTCAATGAAATCAACTTTGACACTCCTGATTTAGAAATATCAAGCTGCTTTTTGTACAGATTCAACTATTTGTTCAATAGCTATCCAAATGATCCTATCTTCCATGATCTCATTTATTCCAAGAATACATTTAGGAGGCAGGTTTTAAGAAAGGGACAGGCAGACAGGCATCAAAATTTAGATCTTCCATTCTCTTCAGTAACTTAAGATCATATCTGATGTGTCTGCAGGTTTTCCAAACTGGGGTAAACTTGCAACAGAGTAATGAGCTGAATGATAGACAATCATAAAACAGAATATTCCTTTCCAATTAGATGAGTCCCATTCTTTTGCATTCTATTTTTCATTACAGTCATGCTCCTGGCTATGCTAATCAGATAGACACTAGGTTCTTGCATGATTTGGGGGATCAACAAGACTGCAAGTTTCTGTATGAAAACCAGAATGGTCAATAAGAGTGGACCTTCATGTAGGGTTACCACTCATCCACCAAAAGAGAACTTTGTCCTTCTGCTCTGGCCCTTAAAATCACTCTGTTTGAATATCTAACAAGCAAACAAGTTTTGTCCAAGGGTTAAGGAATCAGGCTAGAAACATGAAAACTGCAATTTCTAATTCTCCATGAAAACCAACTAAGTGATTTTAGACCAGTCATTCTCTCTCAACCCAACCCACCTCACATGGTTTTTGTGGGTAAAAGGGGAAGAGGAAGGAATATTGGGTGTCTTCATTGCCATGAATTATTTAAAAATAATATTTAAAAAAGGATAAAAATAAATAAATCTCTAAAACAGAATGCTTCCCTAATAAGTCTTGACTACAAGTTCTATGACCTTAATTAGCATGGGTCAGAAACAGAAGTGGTATTCAGCAGGTTCTGACCAGTTCTGGAGAACTGGTAGCAGAAATTTTGAGTAGTTCAGAGAACTAGCAAATACCACCTCTGACTGCCATTGCCCCCATCTATTCTCTGCCTCCTGAGACCCAGCTGATCTGCTGGGTCTTCTTTTGTTGCCCTGCACAGGAGAACAGAGCTGGAAAGTAGGTTAGTTTGATGGGGAGGGAATGGGATTTTGCAGTAACCTTCCCCTGCCACGCCCACCAAGCCACCCCACACCTACCAAGCCATGCTCACAGAACTGGTAGTAAAAAAAATTGAATCCCACCACCGGTCAGAAAGCATAGATCAGAAAGACGACTGAGAAAATATCTACAGATCCCTCACATCCTAGACACACACTCCTTTCCTCAGGATGGCACTATAGGGTATTGCATGCCAAAACAACTAGACACTAATTTTCCCCTCTCCTACCATCACTCTGCTGAACACCTAATTACCACAGTACTGTCTTATATCTAAAGATATTAACCCAGCTGTATTACTGTTTTTCTTCAGACATTTTCTTCCCCAAACCCCAAAAACTTTAACCTTAGACTGTCTACTATTGACCTCACCCCTTTCCTAAGAGGTCTGTAGGGGGCGTGCATAAGCGCACCAACGTGCCTACCGTCCCTGTCCTATTGTTTCTCTTATTCTTTTATTTTTCTTATATGTAACCATTTCATGTATTCACAACTATGTATACATTTATACTTATTATCTTGTAAACAATTGGCAAATCAAACAAATAAATAAATAAATAAATAAATAAACATGATTGGACATTGGAAACCTTTACATATATTTGGTTCAGAGCATGTGCAGTGGTCAGAAATATAGATAGAATGGCAACACTGTGATTCCCAAAGAATGGCTGGTTTTAGCAATACTGGGAGGAAATGTAAAATTTGGGAATGGATAGAGGGAAGGCTGGCTCAAGTGTCAACAACCAGAGACTCAAAGCACAGTTATACTCCTAGTGTAAAACTTAACATTTTCTCCTATTGCACAGAAAGTGACATAAGACATAAGACATAAGAATTTATTTGTCATTACACTCGCAAGCGGGTGCAACGAAATGAGGTGCTCTTCCACAAAGTAAAAACTGGGCAAACACCACTAAAAAGAAAAAAATTAAACTAAACACAACCAACCATACAATCATCTCTATGCAATTTAAAAATGTAAATACCCCATTACTCTCAGCCATTTAATTCCACAAAAATCTTATGACCCTGCATTCAAACTCAAAACTGCACTTGGATAGTGGAAAGTGGAATTTGTAGATTAATCAGCTTGGCTTTTCCTCAAAAACAAATCATGTTATGAGCTATTAATACCTAGCATTAATCCTAAAAAAATGATCATATATTTGAACCATGAATTTTATTGACTAAAACAGTCTACAAAATAGTTTTGTTTTCAGTATAAGTGTCAGATTAGAAGAGAGTGGTAAAATACTCAGAGGACTACTTCATTCTATTGACCTTTCAAAACAGCTGCCACTTGAGAAGAAAGACTCCTGACTTGAAAAGCAGAGTTAGATTTCTTTATGTGTGCTGAGTTATTCAGCATTAGACAATATGAGAACATGTTTCAGATGTCAGCTCTTTAAACTGTAACATTTAACATGCCTTTACATGTCAGCTGCTGTCAAAGCAGTTGGTCACATCTTACTACACTACAAATATCTCATCCATTGGCTGGGAAAGTTTGGTCACCCAGATGACTTCTGAGTCTCTTTCCTATTATCAGAAGGACACTCAAGTATAACATTCAATGTAGCACAATTCTCAGCCTCAGTAAGTAAACCCTGATACAAAAAAATAGCACAGAAGTGGTATTCAGCAGGTTCTGACCAGTTCTGGAGAACCGGTAGTGGAAATTTTCAGTAGTTCAGAGAACCGGCAAATACCACTTCTGACTGGAGATTTTACATATCCTTCCCATGCCACGCCCACCAAGCCACACATCCACAGAACTGTTAGCAAAAAAAAAATTGAATCCCACCACTGAAATAGCAGCTTCTTAAAATGGTAGCATAGTAAACCTGGTTGTATGCAACTTTGACATTGTTGATATTTGATATTGTATTGCTGAGGTAGTGCTGTCTACCATTCCTTGAGCTGGTAGATAACTATATCAGCACAATATTTACTGCTCCCATGGAGATTCTTTATTACCCCAAGCATTATATCAACAAGTGTTGTTGTTATTTATATTGTACAAGAGATTTTAAGGATCAACACTGATTGATTCCTACATTTTCATTACCCTCTCTTTGCACAAACATCACCAACTGGAAATGGATAATGATGTTATCTATTCAGTCAGGTCTAAACTCTTGGCAATTCTATGGGCCAGGTGTTTCCATGCTTGGATTTGCATTCCATGCTTGTATACAGTATTTCTTAGAGTTTTTGTATACTCTGTCAGTTTTGATGGTGTCCAGTCCCTGGGTTCTTTGGCAGTCTGTTTTCCTTTCTTTCTCTAGTTGCTTACAATTAACTTTTCTTATTGGTAGATTAGATGAGTCTGTAAGAGAGGCCACATTTTATAAATGGTTAGAGTGATAAGTTTAGTTGTCCATCAAAACCTGATCTAGTTTTTACAATAGTTTTGTATGGATGTATTTGGGTGGGCTGTAACTTGTCAGTTGATTTACACCAGTTGTAGTTAGGCTGTTTTTGGACATCAGCTTAATAGCTATATCTATTAAGGAGCCTTGGTGGCACAGTGGTTAGAGTGCAGTACTTCAAGCTACTCCTACTGCAATTTGGCAGATCGAATCCCACCAGGCTCAAGGTTGACTCAGCCTTCCATCCTTCCAAGGTGGGTAAAATGAGGACCCAGATTGTTGGGGGCAATATGCTGACTCTGTAAACCACTTTGAGAGGGCCGTAAAGCACTATAAAGCGGTATATAAGTCTAAGTGCTATTGCTATTGCTATCTACTTTCTAACACGTGGTCAAGCATACTGTTTCTAATAATTATAGTGGAGAGATACTGAATAATAGATATTGGGATGACTATAACATTCCTTGATTATGAATTTAAAATGCATATGGCCTATGGATTGAAGCATAAATATGACTGTTTACCAATGTCCTCAAACTCTTTACATGCTGATGTTTTGCATGTTTTTGGCACTTGGGGAAGAAGAAAGAGAAAAACACGAGAATATAAGATATTTCTAATTTCTCCTTTTTACTTTTGTGCTTTCTCAGCTTTCACTGCTAGAAGAGGCAGGTTTCAAAGGTGCTCTTCTTTACATTGACCCTTGCAATTTACCAAAGTTTCAAAACCTGAGCAATAAAGCATTTATGGTGTCATTGAACAGTGGTGGTGATCCTTCGACTCCTGGATATTCCAGTATTGGTGAGTACTTTTCTAAGAGTACTTTTTATGTGAAATAAATAGTAAGCTCTTTGGTTAGTTGAAAGCATAAAGCAAAAGCGATATAAGGTTTTTGCTGTCTGTAATTGTCTGTGTCAGTTGCCACCTGTTGCTCGCTTGTGCTTCACTGTTATGTGGTAATAGATTGCCATGAACTGTGGGGAGGAGGAATGAAGGGGGAAGGCTTGGGGAAACGAAAGTAGGTTCTGTGCCTTCTCAAGATGCTGCCTCAAGGTAACCCAACTGGAAGGAGAAGGGAGCTGTATACTAAAATGTGCTTGGATTGACCATTATAAAAACATCTTGACTGAACCTGATTGGTTACACAAAGTGGGCAGCAAGAGACAATTAAGGAGGGGGAGTAGAACTTAGAGATTTTGCCCAGCGATTCTCAATTCTGGCTTTGTAATATTGCAATGCACTTGATCCCTAATAAATTATACCTTTTTTCAACAAATAGAGCTAAAGATCATTTCTATTTAGAGGTTTAAATTGTGGCAAGTCTGACAATCTATGTTATGCCTTCATGCTTCTCAGGGCCCTGTGTGTCATAGTCATCAGCAAAGTGTGAATGGCATAAATCAGAATTGTTTAGGTTGCATATTTAAGCACGATTTATAGATGTTTTGGGCTTTGCATGAATGTGACATGTTCTCTATGATTCCTGAAAGCAATCCTCTATTTTGAAGGCTTTATGTAAATCAGTTAAACATAAATTTATATGAGTCTCAATTATATTCTCCATGTTCTGCCAATGGAAACTGTAGAAATGTATATGAAAACATATGGTAATGCAGTCTTTGAAAAAAAAAAGTAGATTGTAGCACAAATGGTATCAAACAAAATTGAGATTGGAAAATTATATTTTTTAAATTTTTAAAAAGCAGATGTACCTAAGAACATATTGAAAGTTATAAAGAAGATTTGGCCAGATAAGTCTACTCCAATAAACAAATTATTTCCACACTGCCTTTTCCTTGGTACAAAACTGAGAGTCTGAATGTGCACTGTGGTCCCATATTGCTAGAAACAAAAGGCTGAAAAATAATATTTCTCTCAATTTCCCTTAGTTTCTGAAAGAATTTATCTGCTGAAGTTCAGATGCATGAGACCCTGTCATACATTGTGCTCTATGATAAGGCTTTGTTTTTGTGAAACAAAACAACCTCTTTGTCTATGAATTTCATGGTAGAGTTCTTTCTTGTCTAACTTTAATTGCATGGAAAATGTCATCATGGATTATCCCTGGATTGAGACTTGGAAAACATTTAGTCATCTTTTTACAATTGTATCTAAATGAAAAGGACATGCAGCAAGTTGTAAAATGGCCCTTTGCCACTAGAGTTAGAAATATCACTTATAAGTATTGATTATTTTGCTGGTAAATTATTGGCAAAATGCTTTATAGAAGAACTTGGTAGTGCTACAGTTATGACTCTAGTTCATCATCTTGAGATGTCTGCAGGGAAGGGTCAAGGGAACAAATGAAACCATCCTTGTGCCATCATGAGCCATGATGGCGCAGTTATTAGAATGCAGTACTGCAGGGCTAACTCACTGCTCACTCCAGGAGTTCAATTCTGAACAGCTCAAGGTTGACTCAGCCTTCAGAGGTTAGTAAAAGGAGGGCCCAGATTGTTGAAGGAAATTGTTGGGCTGACTCTGTAAACCACTTAGAGAGGGCTGTAAAGCACTGCGAAGCAGTATATAAGTCTAAATGCTGTCATGACTTAACATCTGCCATGCAAATACTGAATGTGCATAAAAAGGAAAACAATTTGTAGTGTGATGGATAGACAGTTTCCTTGGATAGAAGTATGTCTTTCTAAAAAATATTGAATGTTGGTATGGGTGGCAAATGGAATCTATGAAATTTGTCTTTAAGACCAGGAAAATCAGGAGATCCAGGCAGTTCAAATAAGTATAAAGATTTATTAAAAGCTTAAGGTCTTTATAAAAATCTGAGCTACTAACTGTCAAGGAGAAAGAGTGGGAATTAAGAAGGCATTCAAGATGGGATGGCCTTAGATCTCTTATGAGTATGCAGGAACTCATGACTGATGACCCCTTCCTTGGGTGCAACCTGGTCTCTCCTACATATTTATATAATGTTACAGGGGTGGGCTTCAAATAATTTAACAATCGCTTCTCTACCCAGTTTCAAAATTGGGCCATGGGGGGGGGGCATATTTGCCCTCCCCGGGCTCTGGAGGCCGGAAACAGGCCTGTTTCTGACCTCCTGGAACTTCCCGAAGGCCCATTTTCACCCTTCCAGGGCTCCGGAGGCTTTTCTTGAGCCTCCAGGAGGCCTGTTTTGCTTTTTTTCTCCAGGAGGCCTGTTTTCGTGCCCATCTATGACCTTTCAGAGCCTCCGGGAGATCCGTTTTTCACCCTCACTACATAGGTATCAGCAGTATAAACCCAGCTAACTTCATAGGTGGATTCTAATTGAGATACACAAGAATTTTCTGCAACTTTAGCCTTGCATGTCCTTAAAATTATTCTAGAATAGTGTTTCTCAACCATTGCAACTTTAAGATACATGGATTTGAACTTCCAGAATTCTCCAGCCATCTAGGTTAACTGGGAAATTCTGGGAACTCAAATTCATATAACTTAAAGTTGCCAAGGTTTGAGAAACATTCTTGTAGCAGGATTGGGACTTGTGATATTACATTAGTGATAGAAAAGGACAGCAGTAGAAAGATATTTTCCTCAATATGCCTTTCCAAAGTCAAACAATCAAAGTGGATTGCATCTCATATGTTCCTTCCAATATATAATGGATAGATAAGACATGCATTCATACATGTTTAAAGTTACAATTTAAAAAGACATATTTTAAAATATGTTCTTCAGACACTAACAATCTTGAGTTATACAGCTGACTCTAATCTCTTAGATGAAAGTAAAGAAAACTTAGAAGAGCTCATTATGAAAGTCAAAAGGGAATGTGAATTTTCTCAGTTAATGCTAAATATTAAGAAGAGAAAGTTAATACTTTGCGAATTCACAGTTGATAGTGGTTAAAAGAAATAAAACTATTCCTATATATAATTTGCAGTGCACATATTAATTATTAATGTACTTAAAGCTACATTTTTAAAATGTGTATTTTAAAACAGGCAGTTCAAATTAATAATTTGACGTATAGTATGCAGACAATGCCACTATTAATCAAAGTGAAGAAGACTTAAGGCAGCATGTTAAGAAAGTAAAATGAAAAGTGAAAATATTGAAAAAGACAAGTCTTAGTGAATTTACATTTGATGGCAAATAAGTGAAGATAATAATTTGTGTTCTTGGTCTCAAGAGTAGATAAGAGGGTAGAATTCTGGAGGAATTGACGACTTTCGTCCTAAGAAGGAAGAGAATGTCAAACTTGAAAAAGAGAGATTCTTGGTGTTATCTGATCTTGGTTGTTTTCTTGCAGATATTTCGTTACCCAAAGTAGATAACATCATCAGTGGTAGTATTCAGCACTAATTCTAGACATTGATACTTGGAAAAGAGCTTGAAAACGAATATATTTCAATGCAATAAGTACTGGAGAAGAAGTAGCATTGCCTGTAGTAATGTACGGTGATCAAAGCTGGACATCTAGAAGAAAGGAATATATCTTTAAATTATGGATTTAAAGACAGTTATTAACAGTGCCATGGATTCCAAAAGAACCAATTAGTCAAATTTAAGACTGTAAAGACTGATGGTTAAAGACTAATGGTTCCTCTGAGGCAAGAATTAGCAAGCAGTGAATTTTGGCATGTGATGTGATTGTATGATCCCACTAGAAAAAAATATGATGGGAAGTTGGAAGGAAGTACAAAAAGAAAATAAGCCTTCCATTCCCCCACCCCACCCCACCCCACCATCCTGCCAGAACCGATGAAGTTTCTTGGATGAGAAGCGAAACATCTTCAAGGAAAAACAAAGAAAGTCTAATTGCTTTTTGAAAAAGCATATTTGAGACAACCATGACTTGGATGCCTGAGAATCTCCACTGACAGAAAGAGAATTAATTTTAAAAAGCGGACATACCACTTTGGAAATAGCATTGAAAAGTCTTTGAGAGTGCTGCATTTTGTCAGAGCAGGCAAGTTGAGATGGAAGGCATTTTGATATGCAGCCTCAGAAGCTATGTTTGACTTGATGGCAACTTAGCTAAACATCTCATTCGAGAAGAGGTTTTTTTTTTTTAATGTGCAGATGAACGTGGGAAAGATATGAAGCAGAAGTATGACTAAAGATACATGAAATAAGCAGGAATTTAAAAAACAACAACAGGTGGCTTCTCCTTGATGCTCTCTGACCTTCGTTGTTTTCATGCAGGTTTTTATTACCTGGCTAAATAACATATTCAGTGGTTGAAGGGAGTGGGTTTTGCTCTCTGTTTATTATTCTTCGACAGAGGTTTTATCTGTGTTCAAGTTTAGAACATAGAACAAGGGTGACAAACTTAATTTCATTGAGGGCCACATCAGGGATGTGACTGACCTGGGGGGGGGCATGGTTGACTGGGTGGGCGTGGCCAACTGTGTGGGCATTGCCAGCTTGACGCCACTCTCCAAACTGCTGGTATGTTTCCTCTTCGCATTGGGTAAACTGGCCCAAAGCCAGGCTGACCCAATGTTTCCTCTTTGCACTGGGTAGACTAGGCCGAAGCGACGCAGGCGGCCCCTTACATTCTCCATGATGGGCGCGCGGGTTGGATGCAGCCCATGGGCCTTGTGTTTGACACCCCTGGCATAGAACATAGAATCATAGGGCTGGAAGGGACATGGCATTACTTCTAGTCTGACCCCCTGCTAAAAGCAGACAGCTTTATACCATCCCTATCAAATGGTCATCCAGTATGTTTTTGAAAACCTCCAGTGGTAAAGCATACACAACTCTGGGAGACATGCTATTCCATTATTCTCACTGTCAGAAAATTCATCCTTATTTCTATCATCCTAGCACTGGAACATGGAAACAATCAAGCT